CCCGCCACCTTAGGTGTACGTGGCTGGCGCCCCAGCCGGTTGAGCTATAGGCGCCGAGCCAAGTTGCAGCCGTTATTGTTGTTTGGCGGGCCCGGGCTGGGGATTCGAACCCGCCATCTTAGCCACTTGAGCCACAGGCGCCGAGCCGAGTACCCACTTCAACGTGGGACTGAGTGACATGCTCTCATGATGCACACAGCCCAGTACCCACTGGAAAAGCATAACTATGTCCCTGAGTCCTTTTGAGGACAGGAAATGCTGGGCACAGTGTTTTGGGTCAGGGACCTGCAGCTCCCTGCTGCCCCGGGTGGGCGGTGCCCTTCTCCCTGGGGTGGCCGAGCGGGCCAGGCCTCCCTGGAGGCTGCTGCGGTCACTTACAGTCCCCGAGGAGCTCAGCGTCACGGCCCGCAGGAGGCGATGGCGGGGAGAGTAAATCCAGTACCTCCCATCCGTGAACTGATGGGCAGGTAGGCCGGGTGGGGAGGAAGGAAAACAGAGGACATGGATGAGGCCACAGGAACCACCCAGACAGGCGGGCAGGTAGGAGAAAGGCAGTGGGAGACAGCTGGGGCTGGAGGTTGGCAGACAAGTGACTGCTGAGCGGGGAGGTGGGTAGAGGTGCCAGGCAGGGGTCTGGCCAAGGCCTGCTCCCTTCTCTGCAGCCTAATCAGGTGTCAGGATACTGACACACGCAGTAGGACTTCTTCTGTGGTCGCCTGTCACAACCAAGAGACCAGAACACACACAAACCAAGCCTGGGGACAAGGGGACAATAGGTGGGGCAAGTACTGCTGGGCACAGAGCAGAGCTGTTGGTTATGAAATACCAGTGGGTAGGCGCCCCCAAGTTAGGCCTGAACCTGGCATCTGGCCTCCCAGCTTGCCCACCCCTGGGGGTATGGAGATGAGAACGGACAGCCAGGAAGTGGGGGCAGCAGGACTACAGCCTCTGCCCTGACCCATTACCTAGGGCTGTCTGACCCTTGAGCAGTGGCCTAGGACCTGCCATTGAGGAGTGGAGATGGGATGTCGCAGGCCTCTTTGGCTGTGTGGGAGCCGCCTCACCCAGACCCCTGACAAGAAGTGGGGAGGTCCCATGTCCCCAGGGCCAGGCACACTCAGCCCAGGCCAGAAGAAGCTGTGTCCCTGGCTGATGAAGTGCGGAGTGGGGAACTCTCCTGCCACAAGCCTAGTCCCCTGGCCTCCTGGAAGGTGGAGCCCACCTGGTCACACCCAGTGGCAGCATGCTGGGCTGTAAGGCTGCCAAGGACAGAGGGTCTTGGCCTCTGCCTGGGATTGCCCATGGGGTTGAGAGTCGAGGGCTTCAGGCAATTCTCAAGGAGACTAGGGGATATGGCTGGTGGCCAGGCTGTGGTCATAGGCCGGGAAGGGGGATGCAGAAGCTCCGGGTACTTGAAAGGACCTGGCCTGGACAATAAGAGGCCATTTTACCCTGTTTGGTCAGACCAGAGAGAGAAGGTGGGTATGAGAGTGCTGACACCAGGGTGCACATGCCAAGTATGCACATGTGGAAGAGAGAGTCTGTGGATGGCCTAGGGCCAGAGGAACCTGGGAGACTTACAAAGTAGATGTCAGTGGCAGGTGCATCCTCCTCATCCGAGGCCTGGCTGGCAGGTTCTGAGGCCTGACTGGCAGTTTCTGCTTCAACGGCTGCAGAGGCACCAGCCAAGGACGCCACCACCCTGGGGACACCAGGCAGATAGGAAGTCTTGGTCAGGGTTAAGGCAGCACCTGCCCTCCCGCCCCTCCCCATCTGAGAATCTAGCCACAGGCCATTTCATGGCACCATAATGGAGACAAAAGACTTGGGCAGCCAACCATAGGCAGTGTACCCTGACGTGTTTACCATTTCACGCAAAATAGAATCAGACAGTATGTCCCAAGAAACCCCACTAAACACTGACCCAAGGAATGACCTGCCAGCCTGGTGACCTAACCTATGGGCAGGTGCTGGCCTCACAAACTTTGTAGCCCTAGGCAGTCACTTTCCTTCTCTGAGCCTTGGTTTTCTCACCTGTAATATATGGAAACACAGTAACCACCCCAGTGGGTGAGAACCTCTTTCTCTTTTTCATCTAATGGTTTGTGCGAGGCTGGCAGTGCTTCTGTGAATGCACCTAGTGAATCTCCATCACAGGGTGGGTAGAAGGTGCTGCTAATGTTCCTGTGCTATAGATGAGGAAACTGAGGTGAAGATAGTGCTGAAGGCTGAGGCTGGTGGCTGAGTGACAGGCATGTAATTTTTATCTCACAAATGACACTAAGGACTTGCTCTCCTGCCACATGGTTGGTGGCCAGGCTGTGGTCACAGGCACGTGTTTGAAGTTGGTCATTTTGGCAAAGTCTGAAATTTTACGCTGTAAGGTTTAGCTATGGTAAGAGCTGATGGTACCACAATACATGTGCACTTTAAGTTCAAAATACACTCTCAGTTGTGAGGCCCAGTCTTGGACTTTGCTAAAAGTGCTAAACAAGATCTCTGGGAACAAAAATTAAAAAGCACCTAAAGCAAAGTCGTTAGAAAGGCAAGAAGGATCTGCTCACACAGTTATAGAACTGCACACATGGAAGAGATGAGGCACAATCAAGGACACACAAGCACTGGACAATGACAATTGACAAACAGGATGCAATGGGCTTACAGAAAGACACTTCATGCCTTAACAGAGAACGTGCACTTTATTCCCACATCTGTGGGCAATTAAAACAATAGGTTTTGAACTTCACCATTAGGATTTTAATCTATTTTTTTTATTTTTTTTTTGAGACAGAGCCT